CTAAAAAATGAAATTCTTGATTTTCTAGGATGGCCCTATTACATCTTAGAAAAACTGACTATTTTATACGCAATGTTTAACTTTATAGGATTTCTGTTTTCACTTTTAAAAGGAATCTATAATACATGCGCTATACACACACAAGTAAAAAGACAAGCAAGTGTAGTACGCATACTATTTGCAGGATTTTTTGGAATTTTTTCATCATCAATAAACAAAATTCTTTTAGACGCACAAATAAAAGAATATAATACAAAAATAGCGACAAGGCAGAACACATACGACGAAGAACATAATAACATAGAGGTAACGCCTACAGCACCACAGTTACCACCCCTACCACATAACCATCCATTATCCCTAGTCCCACAAAATTTCCGAAATCTAGCAATAACACATAATCCAAATTTTAGACCAAACATATCACAAAGTTCCATACAACATATAATGAGACATCATTCACAAGATGAAAATACATATGAACAAATTATCGAACAACCCCATACCACAGCTTTTCAGTCTAAAAATAATAATTTTTTTCAGCCCACGATGAGCCGACAACTTGGATCCCTACACCGCTCAAATTCCCATCCAACCAACTTCAACACTCCAATTACAATAATTCCACTTTTTGCTTTCCCGCCACCCGATTTCCCCACTAGTAATATAACATCAGGCATGAATTCAGACACTAATTCGAATATTTCAGTTTTATACTCCATTTCACAACTCAATAACCCTAATATTGAAACCCCTGATGAATTTGCAGACTCCGAACCATCTCCATCCAATAATTTTCAAACCAACTCCTCAGTTTTTTCAAAACCCCCTTTTCAACCAATCCCACCAAATAACCCACTCCCATCCATTTCTACACCCTCTTATGCTTCACAAGTAACCCCAACCTACTCTTCATTCCATTCAGACCGATCATCCAATTCCCCAGATAATCCCCAAATCTCCCAAGAACTCGATAATTTTATCACCCTACAACAACAACTATTACACCCTAGCACCCCCACTATAAATCAGATTTCTTCCACAATAGAATCCTCAAACCCACCTACCCCTACTCCCTCTTCAGCTTATTCTGCATCATTAGCACAATCATCCACATCCACCGAATCATCAAATAGCACTAATAGAGCTTATCGCACTTTTAAAAGAAAATTCCCAAACCATCCATTCCCAACCAAACCAGGAACAGCCCGTGAATATATTAATCATCCACATCACACTAACACGAAAGATTTTCTAGCAATCACCTTACCTTCATTTCCACAATATACTTTAAACACCCCTCATGACACTAACGACACACGTAGTTTTGTAGATGAACATGTTTTAATACCTACACTTCATTGGACATCATTTTATCATTTTACTAATCCCCTTTGCCTACCATTATCTAATACTCATAACGATATAGAAAGAAATCAAGATATGCTATATCGACTCACCACACCACAAACACACAGACAATTTACTTATATAGGATATAAAAAATCACTAAAAACATTCACTGCACCCCGAGCTAACGAATTTACGCTAGAATATTACGATCATAACATCATACGAACTAACCAAGACCAATTTTTAGATGATGATCGCTTCGCTAACCCACAACTAACAGAAAAATTTTTCATCAAAACACCATATGTATTTACACTCAATATATTTGATCGAAAATTTGATCACATCATTTCTGAAGCACTAACCGACATGCAAGCTTACGAAAGTTTTAAAGAAAAATTTCAATTATTTTCACTAACCTTCCACTTCCTTGCACCACATGAACGCGATTTGCACTGCTCACACGACATTATGTTACGCACTAAACAAACCCACACATATACATATTATCGCTTCATACAAAATCATTTTGATCTACACGCTCCATCAAGACAACCACACCACCGTTTTCAGTTTCTTAACTCTAAATACACTTCACCATTTTTTCTAAATTTCACATATTGCATCAAAGATACTAACCTCCACGGCATCCTCCGCAATTATGACCCAATAACACAGATGTATATATTTTGTCCCATCACGAAGATCCTTAATGCAGAAGAATCTAGACCCTTTCTTATCCCACATGAATTTAACCAACCTATAGAAATCCCTATATTAGAATTCATCCACAATACTAAATACAATCACAAATTATATAACCTCATTCAAAACACACCTTATGAGTTTGCAGTTGGCACTGAAGAACTAAAAACTATTGAAGCACTTCAATTGCTTTGGCCACTGCTTCAAACTAAAAACATCATTCGCATACTAGCAAAATTACTAACAAACTCCGACATAATACACGACATCTTTCCCCACGGTTTTTTCCCCGACGACTAACAGGTAAGTATAATTTATACATAATTTTCACTAATAAATTTAAAATAAATACTAACCATTCTTTACTCATGTTTCATTTAGATCTTTAGCCTTCAAACCAGGATCATCTGAAGAAACAAAAAAACAAAATAAAAAATAAACTTGTTAAAATTCATCACTTCACTAATATTTTCCACAAGATAAACTGATAAAATTTATACCAAATGTAGTAAATTGATTTATAAAATGTTTCCCCAAAAGCAGTAAATTTCATAAAAAATGAAAATTTGTAATTTAATTTTTTCCCAAAACTAGCAGTAAAATAAAAATTCTATGTAGTAAATTGATAAAACGAAAATGCAGTTATAACCTTTTGATATTTTCATTCACTCGCACAAGAATTCTATCTAAACTCACACAGCTTGCCCACGAAGAATTGTTTAAATAATGAATTTCAGTTTCAAGCTTTCACACTCAACAACTCTAACACGCGATAACAAGTTTCAAACTTTCCTTTAACCCGGTTGGAAAGGAATTATATACTAAACAAAACTAACCAACGCAGCTTACTAAACACCGCAATTCATAGAATAACAGCATGACTAAGAAAAGAAAACCAACGAAACCCAAACCGGATTAACCCAGTTTAAAACTGGATAATTTATTCTTTTGAAGACTATTATAAAGTCTAAGAAAGAAATAATAAAACACAAAAAAGTCGAAAGACAAACCCATACCAAAAACAATTTGATTTTTGAAAAAAGGACACAACCAACGAAACATAAGAAAAACCACCATAAACCCAACATAAAACGTTATCACATAACAAGACCTCTCACAGAAAGCGCACGAAATCATACTCCCACTCCTGGCCTAACCCACCAGAGAGGACGTCCTGAGCATGCTCTATAGCCGGCCTAACCCACCGCGCTACATCCACGCTTTGTGACCACACTTCTATTTTTAATAAAAGGTACTCAAGGGTGAGTAACTCTTCAAAATAACCGAACTAAAACAAAATGCTTTTGTGAAAACAACTAACCAAAATCATAATTAAAACACTGAACTAATAAAAATTTTATAAAATGTAAACTATACTTTGCAGTATATAGATCATCACACAACAACAAAGACGAACATCCAAAGACAAAATGACCCCACTACACTTAAAAAAGAATGGCCAACCACAAACCGATATGCCGTCCACAATGACAAACTCAAAGGATTTAGAGTACGACTCGACTTCGCAGAAAAGGACTTCATTGAACTAGACCAATGACCACCTCGATGTTCGAGTATACGTACAGATCCGAGTTACAAGGCATCCCCTCCACGCACAATCTCCACGCCATTCCCAGACGAGGTCGAACACAAAAGAAGTTCTCTACATAAAACAGAAAAATCCGTCATAGCAAACCATTCTGAAATCAGATTGATTTCATTGGGAAACACCATCGTTGTCACAAGAAGACACGACGATTGATGCCCCTCACTCCAGCGTCCTGGAACTTCTCTAACAAAGAGAAACCGGACAAAAGTACGATGTTCGCCAAATACCAACGTCCATCATCCATCCTTTAAATTGCAGAAAGATAATTCTAAAAAACTCTGTAAAACCCGGATGGGTGGAACCTGATCTAAACTATATTTTATGATTGGATAAATTAGATATTTTACCACTGTAAAGTATTTAATATTAACCAATCATGATCCATCTAACTAACAACCCACTTATTTGTAAGTGCTGCAGCACCAGAGAGATTTGAATTTAACTTAGAAATTAGATACCTCTCCAAGAGAACTTCAGCAGTCGCAATAAACCAGTATACCCTAGATCTATTGAGCCTAGCAGAGACTAGTTAAACAACCTGAGACTATATAGTATAAGAGTAAGATTAGGATCGGTATTAGACTAAGAAGTTGCACGAATCTATCCGGCCGAAAATAAGATAGCGTGACGAGCAGACGGTGTACCCTATCCGAAATTACTCTATGAGTTAACCACAAGTACATAACTCAAAATGCAAATAATTTAAACGCAAATTTTTTAATTACAATTTTCTTTAATGCAAACTTTACTCAAAGTATTTTCGGCAGTGCCTTCAATTTTAATAAGCATCGTGCCCTAAAGATGAGCTGCAAAAATTATGAGCTGCTAAAGATGAGCTGCAAGAAGAGCTCGATGGAAGTTAAACGCATGCGAAAAGCCTAAAAGCGTTTAAAAATAGGTGTAATTGGTGTTTTAAAAATATGGTTTAAATAGGTTTGAGTGCTATTTCAGAAACCATATCTGTTTAGCAATGATTGCATTAACAATTGTGTATGAAAGTTGTCATAGAAACTTTGAGAAATTAAGCCGTTTCGAGAAATTAATGCAGAAACTGCCATTTTTTCTTTGGAAGCTTTGCTTTTTTGCGGCTGTTCTTTGTGTTGCGGTTCATAATTTTTGATAAATGGGCGGCAAAGAAACTATTAGAAATGACCCGAAGTAGAGAGATGCCGTAATCTTACATAAAAAGGGCAATTTTTTGACAGTTTAGTAAATTTATAATCTTCAGGAAAAACAAATACCCCCACCCCTCCTGAATCTTCTATTGATTTTTACTTTTGTTTTCAAATCAATTGCAGAAAAATCTGAATTACAGTGACGGTTCTTGTTTTAGAGATGATCGAAGGCATCCAGGATTCATACAAGCGACACCCGAAGAATGCACACTTAGACCAGCATTAGGGACCAGTACTGGCTGAGCAATTCTCTAGAAAGTGAAACATCCAGAGGATCTTGTTAACTATCCCACTATCTATGGTACAGATTTGCCACCCATATTGGGGGACTAACTAAATGGTTAAATATATGTTAACTTTTATAACAAGTTTCCCCTCTTTTGCAGTGGTGGTAATAGTTAACAAGATTCCATCCAGATTCTCAGAACACAGTATTTTTAGTTTATATCTGTTTCCTACTTGATGTTGATATACGTAGAAAAATGCCCGTGTTCAGTTTATATTTATGGTAGAGTATATATATGTTGTAGTAGTTTTCTTATAAACACCATTTAAACGCAGGGCAACAAAAAAAACCCGGAAAAATTTCCCGAAGCAATTTTAAGTATATTTGCGTGTAACAGCTCACTTATAGTATCTGGAAAAAATGTTTTCCAAAAAACATGAGTTCCTGACTTGATTTCCAGAAAAAAGATGACATTTATAGGCTAGCATTTTAAAAATTTTCTTGTTTCTGACAGAAATTCGCTGTACTTCTTCGAGTTAAAAAATTGGAAGATATTTGCTTTTATTTGTTATATTTTGTAGTTTTGAATTTTCAAACGCGTTTCTTGACACGATATCTTTTTTTTGGGTTAACAACTAGTTTAACAAAGTCAACTGAATCAATTCTCTTACATATTTAACTGCAAATATTTCTTAACTTTCACGTATATATATATATATATCACTAAATGCATGTATTTATTACGTTATACAAGCTAACACGCTCCAATTCAAAATAAACTATCTTTTAGATCATTTTAGGTAGCAATTTTTTTCCAATATTTTTATAGAAAAAGTGTTGATTTTTTTTCGGTTTCTGTCTTACGTCATAATTTTTGTCGGCTCATTTTCCGTTTTTTTTTCTAAATGCTTTTTATTTTATTGGTACGCTTTTCCAGCAGTCTTTTCCAATGCTTGGGATTTTTTTCATTCAAACTTATTTTCTCAATGACTGAAATGAGTTCTGTAGCTAGTAAATTTACCAACTTTGATTACGCTTGCGGTTAGCAAACGTTATTCAAACTGGAATAAAGATATTTTTCGGGCTAGCAACTTGTTTAACAGAATCATTTGATTCGCTTGTATCTTGGTTCATGAAGAATTAATATTTCTATGCGAGTCCCACACTTAGCGTGGAGGTGAGGACCGTGGTTTCTAATCTGACGAGGAACTGCTTTTTTTCAAACTGAAAATGCTCCGTTTCCAAAAAAAATTACCGGCTTAATATTTGCCACCTACCTTTTGTCGGCTTAGTTGCTTCATCGTAGAATGGCTTTTTTCTATACGCATTTTGCATTGTAGTTGTTCTTAGTGTTTTGATTTACTTTGGCTGTTCGCAATTTCATGACGTCGTATTTTTTTTTGCTTAAAATGTTTTTCTGCTCAAAATGTTTTTGTCTGCTCAATTTTTGTTGGCGTAATTGCCACATCGTAGAAATGATTTTTTCATGCAATTTTATTTTTTATTAGCCTTGACTTCGTATATTTTGCTGTTTTTTTCGCTTAAAATCTTTATTCGGCTTAAATGATTTCGGCCTTTATTTTGTCGTCCTGTGCGACCTAATTTGGTGACATTTCAAAAGAAGCATAAGTTTGGGCCTGCTGAAAATGCTAAAATTCTTAGAATTGAATTATAATTTTGGTTTATATTTTGGTTTTACGAGGAATAATTTAGCTTTTGTCAGCTGAGGTGCAGCTAGTTAAGTTTAATTTAGTTTTTTTGTTGCTGTTGATTGTGTTTCTGGAGATGTTCTCCGCAAACAGAGCATGATTCCAGAAAAGATATCAATTTTTTTAAATTTGTTGTTTTTGGAAATGATTTTTTTCTTTTTTTTGGACTTAGTGGCTTGCTTTTCCTGTCTGCAGGCTTGCGCCGCTGTTTTTATGTTGCATCGCAAGTGGTACGAAATTCCGCTTCGCCTCTGGGTTTAAAATGTTTGTGGGCGGATCAGGCGTTTTCAAATCAGAACAAAGAAATTTTGAGAATATGATTTTGAAATTTCACTTGAGGTGGATGACTTTGTTATTTTCAAAGAGAACGAGTTTGTTGTTTGTGCACTTTTCACTACAATAAAACACTGATTTGTAATGTTACAGGCAGTTAATTGCAAAAAAATGTTTTTGATAAATTGATAAATTATATATTTTTTGATGCAAGGTATCAAAGAATAAACTAAATTTTATTAAAAAATGTTTTTTTTATATTCTTTTTCATGTCACAATGAAGCAATAAATCAAGAGTACTTTTACACCTTCCACAATAAGAAAATGTTTAATCATTATTTTTTTTGATTGCAAAAAATTGAAACAAAAACTCTGCTGTATATTCCGACTATTGAAAATGGGGAACAATTTTGTATTCGGTATTTTTTCCCACACAAAATCAGGCAGCACAAATAATAATCGGACTGATTCAAGTGATATATCATATAAGAGCCCGTTCAGTTGCAATTCGAACGGCAATGAAAAGTTTACAACAACCGGTATGAAGTTTTATGGGTTTTCATCAAATTTCGACCAAATTAAATGATAATAGCATGCTAAATTGGTCATAGGCCATAAAAATTTTTTCTTCCAAATGAAAACTAGTGTTAAAAGCTTCATTCGACAGTTTCTTGGCAAGAAAAGTGTTCAAACAAGTTTAAAACATATGCGCAAAAAAATAGAAACAATTTATTTTTGAATTTTTTTTTTCAATTTTTTTGTTTGTTATTCTGTTTTTGAAGGCAACTGTTGTCGAGTATGTCTAGTTTACTAAACGCTTCCGCGTTTGTATTGTTTTCTCATCACATCAAAAACCGACACTAAGTTTAAGTACTTTATAATTTTATGAACATGGTCGGAATCTTCTGTGCTACTTGCACAGCAACCGTCTATCCTTGTTTGTTTTTTCAAATGTTTTCTTCGTTTAATAAGAGTTTTGCAAACTGAACGTTCATAAATTATAAATTTGTTACTATATTTATGGATTTTTCTTCAACTTGACAATTTTTTTGAAACTTGGTTCAATAGGTAAATTTAATATTTCGCTGAGAAGTCTGAAAATTAAAATCCACTTTCGACACTAGAAGTCAATCAATTTTTTTGTGACTTTTATACTTTGCTGTTCGATAATGGGTTGAGGCTTCCTTTTAACAAAAAAAAACTGAACTAAGAAAAAATCAAAAGTCAAACTTCGGAAAAAATAGTTGAGCCTGATCATATTTTAGTTTTCCTGAAAAAAACCGAAAAAAAATCATCACGACTATGTAAATTCTAAACTACGAGCATCAACTGTTCAACTGTTGTCAATTTTTCTTGATTTTTTCTGTTTTTTTTGATGAGCTGCAGAGCCATCATACAGTTTTATGAGGACGCAATTATGGTTTTTGGACTGTTTAAAGCCGTTCAAAGAATCAAAATTCTGTAACGAGTCTTTGCAATCTTTGATAGATGTTCAAAGTTCTTGAAGATTTGGCAAGATTCTTAAATCATTGGAAGTGGGAACGCTCAAAGCGAGAACATCAAAAATGAAATTGATGAAACTGTCAAAACTTATTGTTTTTACAAAAACCTGGCAATAGCTCAGTTTCCAGAAGATAAGGTTTCAAGATGCATTTAATTATTGACGTTTACAAAACCAGCATTCAAAAGCTTTCCATGTAGACTCATTGTTGATCATGAGCGTGTCTCTTCGCAAATGAGAAGTTGATAAACCGTCACTTGTATTAGCACCACTAGCAGATTTAGGGAGGGAGATGGAGGCCCCCACATCAGGGATTCGATCCGCTGCCGATCCAAAGGGTCTACCTCTGTGCTTTTTGAGATATCCGTTTCTGGCTGACTGACCCTAAAGTTTTTTAAAGGCTCCTTGGGCACCAAAAGGTACTAATTTTGAGGGTGGAGCGATCTTTTAGTAAAAAAACACGATCTTTTATTCAAAAGTACTAATTTTGAGGGTGGAGCGGTCTTTTAGACAAAAAACACGATCTTTTAGCCAGAAGTTTCCAACACGGCTTTTTTGGCCTGTTTTTTCAAAAATATGTATGCGGTGAAAAAAATGGTAAAAACAGGCTCTTTCTTGTGATTTGGGAGCGCTCGGAAAATCAATATGCTCGATTTTGAAAAAATTTAACTTGGGAAGAAAATTTGCTTTTTCCTGGCAAGTTTTTTTTTTAAATTTGACTGCGACGCTGGCGATTTGGTTAAAACAAAGTATTTATAGTGATCTGTGAGAGCTCAGAAAATCAGCTTAGTCAGTTTAAAAAAAGTTTACAAATTTTTGAAAGTTGTCGGAAAATCCGCCTCGATTAAATCTTAGATCTGTCCTGTCTTCATGTCGACTTGGTAAATGTTCAGATGCAATAATCTAAAAAAAACAAGGATTACTTATTTAGTTCCCTTAGTATTCAATTATTTCGTAAGTCCTGGTCGAGCTTCTCCTTAATTGTGTCCATACATGTTTATGTGGTGATGACCCTCCAGCCCGTGGGTGTGTTTTTGTGGTGTCCTATAATTTTGACATCAAACATGGTGCCCTTGCTCTTCTGCCACATCTTGCGGGGGGCTATCATTGACCCGTCTGAGTGACATGCAATGTGGTGGTACCTAAAAACCCAGTGTTATTCTTCCAGTATTACCCACATAAAATATCAGAAAAAGAAACTGTTTAAGATTCCAGGGCAATGTTTTCTGAATGCTCAAACATTTTCAAGCTGCAATGTTACCAACAACAATTATAAATAATTATATTCTGCTTTCATAAAACTTAAAAAAATGCTTTCGTAAAAATTAGCAAAATAAGCCATTTTAAAAAATATCTGTTTAGCGCTTTTTTCATTTTCAGCTTGGAAGTTGAAAGTTTGGCTCTTTTCCAGTCCCCCCATTCGAAATACCGAGTTTTATGTTTGTTTTACGTGTTATTACGGCTAAACGCCTGATGTTACGCTGTAAAGTATGAAGAACAAATCTGTTCAGAATTGTCGATTTGTTCACCACGCCAAATTTCATTGCATTATGACAACGTTAAATAGACTTTTCAAAATTGAATTTGAAGGGGGGGACTCGAAAAGAGCCGAAAC